TAAATTGATTTTTTTTTATCCCTACAGCCCATTTCCACCAAACGTTAAACTTAAAATAATTTTAACAAAAGGCGATCGATCCTTCGAGTTGCATTCTGCTTTTTACAATAAACATGAACGGCAGTTAAGGCTTGGTGGAAATGAACAATTAATTACTTGAAAGATTATTTTATTTTTTTTTTTTAATTTCAGAGTGAAAAACTAAAAACGCAATTTTACTATATTTGGTCCATGGTTTCGCTAGACATTTATAAAAAAATATTAATTAATAAATAAGAAAAAGAAATATAGCCAATACTGGTCAAGAAAAGGAGTTTCTATTATTTCCATCAGTGCAAATTATAAATCCCGCACCTGGGATTAACATTCCTAGTATTTAGGTTCCTTAGAACCTACTTAGAATGAGTTTGCAAGTAGCGAGCGGCATTCCTAAACCCTTACAGGACTGTGAGAGTGGAACGGATGAGCCCTCTCTTGCAAGTTCGTCCGCCTTCTCTGTGCCTCACATGTTACCGGGTCCCAGCATCTATACCAAGTAGGCTTAATTTTGTACTAAGGTTTTCAATCACTCCGTAAAAAAATTTAAATATATCTGTATTAAGGTAATGCTGTGTAACATGATGGTAGTGTCACCCACCACTTCAACTTCACCACTTTTTGGATCCACTGTGCGTTCGTTACTTTTGCGCATTCACGCGTATCTGTTCTAACTACACAAGTGACGACTGGTGAGGGCTCGTATGCTATTACACATACGCACACGGCATATGTACATATGTATGTATATTTTTAACTTTAGCTTATGGTATCTACATTTTTTGCTGTGTTGGTATTTCAATTAACTGTTTCATTGTTATTTGCATACAATGTCGCGAAGTTAATTTGTTATTTTTAACTGATGATTTTCTTTTTTTCTGTTGTTTTTTTTTTTTTGTATGAGAGTATCGTGTCTGTCTCGACATACTGGTTTTCCCCCATATTCGCATATGCTTTGTATGTAGTACTTGTATACTTGACATGTACATATCTTGTTTTTGTGCTGCGCTGCGGTTTATATAAATAAGTAAAAAAAAAATGAAAATAAAAAATAATAAAAATGTTTGGCATCGTAAAATGCGTCAGACATACTGACTTACTAGATAACTGACTGAGTGACACGCGCGTTTCAATGTATTCGCGCCGATCGTGAGCTGGTTGATTGGTGGTACGCTGTTTTTCAAGCGTTTTACTGCTACTTCTTACCTCTGTTTCTGCTCTTTTTATTGCTGTCTGATTCTTGTTGCTTGCTATTTTAGCGTTTTGCATATTCTGTGTTTGCGCTTGTTGTTGAGTATTTTTCTATTTTATTTATTTTAAATTTTTTTATAACTTTATTTGCTTCTTGTCGCTTGAATGTCTCTTGACATTTACATACATATGTATGCATGTATGTATGTATGCATTTAGCTGCTCGACGGCAGGTAAATTGTTAGCTGGTTGTTGCTAGACTCACTTGCTGCTGGCTAGTTTGGTGGTGAGGTAATTTGAGTAACTTGATTTGGCACACGCGCTCAGCTATTGAAGCCTCACATACAGATATACCTACATACATACATACATCATAGCTTTGCAAGCGACTCGATCGTCAGGTGCGAGCGCGTAGAGCATTGATAGCTAATAGTGCTTTAATTTGTATATATGTATATGTACCGTACTTTCATGCATATATGTAAATCCAGTTGGTAGCTTTGGTTAAAAGTGCCATATCACAGCAAAAAGCAGATTCTTGACTTGGCGCACTTTTTTTTGTTTAGTAAATTTTAAAATTTTTTGGCTTCTGTGGTATTTCCTACCCCTCTATATCTTTTCCTCTATCTCTTTCTTCCTCTCTCTTTCTCTCCCTCTCTCTCAAGTGTGTGTGAGTGCACGTAATCGCTGTTGATAATTGCCACCTTCTTAATTTCTGCTTTCCGCCTGTTCGTTGCTAGTACTTTATTGTGTTTTTTCTTTGTGATTATTTTTTCTCATTTTAATCACCTCAAAGCTTTGAGCTGCGCGCATTTGTAGCAATCGCGGTGTTTGTCAGTTAATACTAAAGTGGTTGTGGCGCGGAGTTTTTGTGTTTCGCTTGCTTCGGTTGAAAATAAGTGGAGCTCAAGTGACAGTTTCATGTTAGCGATTAGTGCACAAATTCCATGAATGCAACACATTCGAATACAAAAATTACATATGCACGTATGTATGTACTTAGTAGATGCATACAATGCACTTGCGTATGTAAGTGTGCGCGGCATTGAATCAAAGTGACCTTGACTTTTGAGTGTAGTTATAAGCGATGTCGTATAAAAGCCACAAAAACACCTTGTGTTATATGTTTTTAATTAAATAAGAAAAAACTTAATTAAATGATCTGCGTGCTGCTCTATTAACCTTAAGGCTGTGGTTGTGATTTTACATAAGACTCGTCGTAAAGAGTGAATGCATTTATTTGCTGTAGAAAAATTTGTTAACTGTATAATTCTAGTGGATAAATATGAAGCGATATTTTGTAAACCAATTCGCATAACATATTTTTTGAAAATTAGCATCATCCGGGACTTTCAGTTACCAACTTTTTTACATATTCGTACATACATACATACATGTATTTATAATTACGCTTTGATTCAATTTATAATTAGCGCGCACTGAGCGGAAACAAATTTAATAACAGCAATAATACAGATTTACTTTTAATTGCAACTCCCAGATAAATGTAAAAATAATGATAGTCAATACAGCTCAGTTATTATTTGTTATCACTGGCATTCACGGTACAGTAAATTAAAAAAAAAACTAGATATTCAAATAAGTGTGCGTAATTGCATATTTTTTTTAGCAAATAATTTGAGGAATAACACATTTAGTAATTTGAAAGTTTCAATGCATTTCGAATAGAGGTTTTTTATGCAAAGAATAAATTTTCCATTAGATAAAAATATTAAACAAAAAACTAGTCCTCATAATTTTATAACCTCTTTTGGTAAATAACCGCATAGGATCGTCGTATTAGAATCAAAGAAATTTTTTTTTTAATTTTTCGTGGGTGGGTGATTGTAAAAAAGTATTTGATATCCTTTTTCAAATCATTTTGCAAGGCACTAAGCAGTACTCGAAGCATAAATTTAAAACTTTTTAAATATATGTACATATGTATGCACATATATATGCGCTTAAGTACAAGCAAATGTGAACGTTGCGAGTTTTCCAACAGAATTACAAAATGTACATATTATATCTTAAGACATACCAAAAAAAAAAATAAAAAATATATATATAGATTTACGTGAACTGGACCGATCTGAAAATATTTATCTCCAAAAATGTCACTATTTTGATTACGTTGATAAACGATTTTAAAGATTTTTATGCAAACCTTTTAAGATTAAACTTTTCATCAGACGTGATAAAAAACTCAGATTTCAAAGCGGTTTAGCTCACGTTAATCTTAATATTTTACGAATTATTTTGGCTGATGCTTTAAAATATAGTAGGTTTTATATTCCGATGGAAAGAGAGTGATGCACCCTAATGTACATACATATGCATGTACATATATTTGGATCAGTATGGATGAAATTATAGCTAGCAACGTTGCAAGTATTTCAGAGAATTTTTCTCTTTCAGTTCATATAGTTTGTAGTTTTCGGCGTTATCAGGCCTCGTGTGCAAATACTAAAAACTGTATACATACATACAAAAAATAAAAAATAAAATGATAATCAACTTGTACAGAAATAATTCTATGAATATATAGATAGTTCAAAAAATGCATGTGTGCGAAAACAGTTAATAAATATTTCTTCATAAATTACTTAGCTTTCGTAACCTAAAATATAAAAACAAAAATTAAAGCAAAGTAAAATTAAAGGTAAAACATTTTTTTTTTTAATTTCGAAAAACCCGGAAATTTTCGAAAAACGAGTCTATTCATATTTAAGGAAAAATGTATAAAATTATAATTTTGCATAAAAACATAAAAAGCATAAATTTATGGGTCAAAATATTAAACCAGAAAGTTTAAGAATTATGTGAATAGCGTGGAATCTTCAAAAAATTCTAAAAAAGCTCTATGTATTTTTTTTTGAATAATGTTTAAAAAATAAAGATATACAAAAAAATTACTACTCAAACGCCTGTTAAAATTTGCTTCGAATAAAGAAAAATTTGAAAAAATCGTCAGGAATTCTGAAAAACCACGCATACTTAAGTTCTTTGCTTTTTAATTTTAAAGCAACCATTTCTCGGCCAAATATTAAAAAACAAAATCATTCATTGTTTTTTCATCAAGAAAATAAAAGACTTTTCATCAAAAATAACAAATAGGCAAATTTGCCTTAACACATAAGTAGACAACATTTTTAGAATCATATGTGAATCTTTTTCTATAATGTGAGAGTATTCTCAAGAAACCTTTTATTACTTTATGCTTTCAAGCTAAAAAAAAATAACTTTTGTGAATAAATTAAATTTGTAAATTTCAAGTTTACTTAATTGTGAATTTTGCTTCATGAAATCCCATCTTTTAATTAAAAATGTTGAATTTTTTTAAATTATATATATGTATATACTTTTTGCTTATATTTAAATTCTAACTCTTTAAAAATAAAATAGTTTTCATTAAATTGTTTTGCTAGGAAAGTAGTTAAAGTTAAACAACAATAAACATAAAAGCCTTTTATTACAAATCGAATAATAAAACATTTGATGAAAAGCGTAAAGGTGCTTATATAACTAAAAATACCAAAAATAAACAACATAATATTTTGTTTTTAATTGGAAATGCATAGGAAGTTGGTTAATTTGCATAAAAAGTGTACATATGCAGGTGCTTTTAAAAGTGTTACCATCTAGTTAATGCGTCTTACTATTTTCAACTGTTCAAAGCTCACACACCGATATTTTAATAGTGAATTTGTCCATACACATATGTGCATATATACATATATTTTCTATTAAAACAAGTGTTTTATTTAAAACAGCAATTCATACAAAAACATTCCCAGTGTAAGAAAACAAATATCAGTACATAAAAACCTTCAATTCAACGAAACAAAAGACATCAAGAATACTATAGAACATTATAAATTAAATACCATAAACTTCATACAAATTCACATCAAACAAAAGCAAAATACGCTATAGTAGAAAAAACAATGTGATATTTAAAAGTAAAGAAACAACTCATAGCAATCGTGAATGAATGTGCAATCAACAAAGCCAGTGAAAGGGGCAGGAAAAGTGGAAAAATTTCATCAATCAAAAATAAGTAAATAACCATCAGTAAACTACATCTCGTTGTTGAGTCATCAGATATTTTTATAAAAACTTATTTATGTGTACGAATTGCTCGTGCCACCTGCGAATAAATTCATAATTCAACGCCTGTGTGCATATGTATAAACATTCAGCATATACACATACATATGTACATATGTATATCCTTATAATTCCATACGTACAAATGTGTTTATAAAAAAAAAATCCCAGAAACGGGTTTTTTTTGTACATCATATGTACAAAGTGCAGCATCTACATCCCTTACGTGGCAACCAACCACAACCAATAAACTACTCTTAACTAGTTTAACTACTATTTATTTAGTATAATTATATTCAGCGAGTAGTATTCTAACATACTCACCGAAATCCAACAAAACGCATGCGACATTTGGCATTTGAAGCATTCGAGACATTCAACATTGGCAACATCAGTATCAGCATCGGCATCAGCGACAGTGTCAGCGTTAGAGTCTACACATTGACAACTCTGCAAATGTGATATGTGCTTAATACTCGTATAATGTATTGACACCCACAAGCAAATAACATCACACACACTTACACACATGCATATGTATATGCATAAATAAATACAAAAAGTTATAAGCAGCAAAGCAAATGGAATAAAAGTAAATAAGTAAGAAACATTGCAAGAATCAAGCAAGAGACGCAAGGCATTAACTAGCTATCAGCATTTAGCAACACGTAATGCTGTGACAACTCTCTTGAAAAGCAGCTATTACATACATATGTACGTGCGTGTATCTTGATACATACACGTAAATATAAATACTTAAAAACTACACCTACATTTATGCATCTCCGCGAAGTCACAGTCCAAGAATAATTACGTCATTTCATCTGTCATCGAGCTCTAATTGCTGCTGCTGAACAACATCATTGCCAGTCGGTCATATTAGTGAGTCAGTGTCAGTCAGTCAGCAAGTTAGTGAGTCGACGAATTAGAAGCAGCAGCAGCTACTGTTTCACATTCAACAACGAAACATTACTTTGGAGTGCAGCTAAAAGACAGAAAAAGAAAAAGAAGGTGATTCAAGAAGTGAACACAAAGCGAAAACCAAAAAAATAAACAACAGCCAGCAGCAAAAACTCCGACTGCAGTGTTTATTTAGAACGGTAAATGGAAAATTTTGTGATGAACATAGAAAGTCGTGAAAGAAATTTTACTACATTTACTACAAGCGGTTAATGTTTTGATTGCAAAGGCTGTGGGTTTTTGAAATAAATCCATTACATACAATTATATGCATACATACATTCATACACAGTTTGAATGTTCATATTAATGTATATACATATGTACATTAGATTGCATCACTCCCCATACAAAAAAAAAAATCGGTACTTTGTTTCCATTAGAATTATAAAATCTATTAATTTTAAGACTACCATTAACATATTTCGGAAAAATTTTAAGATTTACGTGAGCTAGACCGATTTGAAAATACCTCCAAAAATGGAGTTTTTTATGAATAAAAGCAGTTTCTTAAAGTTTTTTTTTTGAAAAAAATCCCGTCAAATGACAAGACGGCTTAAGCTTAAAAATTTGCATAAAAACATTTTTATTCATAAAAAACTCCATTTTTTGAGGTATTTTCAAATCGGACCAGCTCACTTAAATCATAATACTTTTCCGAAAGATTTTGGTGGACGTCTTCAAATCTAATAGATTTTGTAATACCGGCGGAAAAACCGCAACTTTTTTTGGTGATGCCGTCTAATGTACATATGCATGCGATGATACTCAATTGTTGGTTTTAATTGAAATTTGGCATACTTGGAACTATGCATTTGCTATAAAATTAAATTTGATTTACAAACAGAAGCACAGGCTATTTTACATGACGGTTTATTGGAACTATGCCAAAACTCGGCAACTATTAGTTTAGTTATTATTATCAAAAATAGAAATCTAACTAAATTCTCACGCAGTTACTGTTGACTAAGAAAAATTGGCACTACTTTTTCTAAAATATTATTCAGGCTCTCATCTTCCAGACGAACTGTATGCCTCATAGATTGTAGGCTAGATGACAGCTTTTTTATTTATCATGACTGCTAACAGTAAACATATACTATTAGTTATATAAAGTGGCCGATTTGTTTGTTTGTTGATAGGGGTTAATCTCTGGAACTACTGAATGGATTCTGAAAATTTCTTTACTTATGCGATTATGCTAGTATGGCAAGCCAAAGGCAGAGGAGCTTCTAAAGAGGTCGAGAAAGGATACAATCCGGTACAATCCGCGGTGCTTCAGCTGCAATTTAGCGGGAAGTAAGGAAACGATCCTACACTACCGTTGCGAGTGCCCATAATTGGCACGGGTATGATACACTACGGAGATCCTCCATCCAAATTCTTACGGAGTTCTGTAAACGCGCCATTACTAACATAAATAGAATCATCGACAAATCCAAGTGGTTTACCGAAACTGGCGAATAATGAAATCAGATAATATCAGTGGTCCCAGAGATAGCATATCCAAATGGTGCTCTCAGCGCTATCCTCACGAGTTGTTTTTTTTTGTGTCACTCTCTTCTCTCGACGGAAAAAAACACTAAATCACCATCTTGCACTTCCTTCAATCAATGGCGTTCCAGAAAAAATTATACTAAAAAGTGAATCAAGTATTTGAATAATTTTAGCCTTAAAATGTTTACATCATAATTGTGTTTTTTTTTTTAATTACTGTGGGAAGTTTGCAAATAAAATGTTCATATTAGAGGCAATGGACGTTGGCATCAAATACAGCATATCTTTGAAATTTCAAGAGTTTACCTCGAAATTAAAAAAAAAAATTGCAGCATGCAGTATATCCGTCGCAGCTACTTTGTAATTTTTGGAATTTAAAGATTTTTGATTTTAGTAGTTTTAGATACTTCAAAATGTTAAAACTAAGCGGTGAAAATGTTCTTCTTGCTAAAACTAACCAAATGCAAAAAAAAAACAAAAATACATTGAGTATAAGGGGACTAAATATGATTTGAGAAACTAAAATCCGTTTTTACAATTTTTATTGGCAAACTCGAAATTCATACTAAAATTGTTATACACATAAAGAACGTAGTATATATTTGCATAAGGGATACTGATCTCCCGCGCCAATATTTAATCACTTTTAAATAATGTGACGTGCGAGTAAACGTGTTAGTTGACTGTTTTTGGTGCTACGGGGCGTATACGTTACATACACCACTACGGGTATAAATATGAGCACGAAAATGTAACTCATTAGATTTGCTCATATGTATGTATATGCGAAAGAGTTTCGCCTGGGACCCTGAATTTGATACTTTTAGATTAAATGGAACTGGAAAAAAAAAATATATATATATATACTATAAACGACACTCACGTATTGACAAGATTTACCTTTTTTTTTTTGATTTTAATTATTTCGTTATAAAAGTGTAGTTTATTATTAAAAAAAAAAACTTATAAATCCGAGTTTAAATATTTTTGCCATATTTAAAAAAATCAAAATCAATTAGATTTTTTAGAAAGATTTTGAGTATGTAGTTTTGTGCCCATTCAATTTTAGTATAACAGGGTGTAAGTTTGTATTAGCTGAAACTTTCCGTAGCTTTTTGACATATTTTTTTGTTGACGATGTCAGTTGTTTTCTTCTTACGAAGTATGTTCGATGATTTTTTTTTTTTATGGAGCAACAATGTTAACAAAATAAAAATTGCCAAAAAAAAACATTAAGTCCCAGTTACAAAAAAAATCTTGAATAAAAAGATTTTTATTCTTATTTTTTTATTTCTTGAATACTGAATCTTGGATTTAGACATTTTTTTAAAGAATAAACTATATTTTTATAAAAAAATGTTAAATTAAAAAATTATAAAATAAATAGCCAAAATCTTGTCAACAGTTGAGTGTCGTAGGGTTATAATACGCTCAATATATGTTTGCATGTGGTAATAAAAATATTGCATAAATCTGAATTTAAAATTTAATTTATTAGGTTTGCTTCTAACCACCAAGCTAATTGGACAAAATTTTATTTTAGCGTCAAATAAAAGGCAATCGCAATCTTATAATCAAACGCAAGCTATTTTGAAAGCTTTCTTTTAAGTTCAGTTGGTCCATAAATGTGTTTCGAATAATGGTATATTATGGCTTCTCCCTGTTGCCATCGTTTCTTTCATGCCTCGGTACCCAGCTCAGTGGCACTCTGTTCATGGCTCCAGGGTGCTAGAGCAATCATACACCAGCTTTAATGTTATTATGTGAGACTTCAGTGTCAGTAAGGCGGTCTGACAGTCTGACATAATAGAGATATATTTCGAAGACGTGCCTCTTCCAATGCACTCACTTTGAAACATTTCTTTTGCATTAATCGCAGCTTGAAAAATGCTGTGGGAGCATCGATTGGTATACATTTTTTGAAGTTTTTCATTTTTAAGTTTTGATTCATCTGTGTACCCCACCTCCAAATTCGTTGTCAAATATGGGTTCTCTGTGTTCCGGAGAGCTCGATTTGCAACGAATATCTCAAGGTACCGTCTATATTAGAATTTAAAAGGAAAATATGCCAACAGGTCTTCAATATTGTGGTATTAGCTAAGCTAGTAGCAGTTCGAATTTTGGCTATTCGGGTACTGCCTTTTTGGCTAGAAAAGTCTAAAAATGTGTTGCGCTCTTAGAAAATAAAAAACTATTCGGCAAAAATCCTTTCCATCATGAGCTTTATTTTAATCTTAAAAAAAAAAAAACGTTTAGTTTGATTCTATATGCACAAGTAGAACGCTGTTTATAAAGCAAATTTTTTTTTCAAATAAAAATTTGTATGTAAGGAAAAAACTACAAATTATTGTACTGGGGCAGAAATGATAAATATTTGTTTACATAAAAAAAGCTACTTACATATAACTGTAACAAATACGTGTATTAAGGTGACCAGCTTACAAAGTTGCTTGCCAATTGCTAAACACCTACTGCTAGACAACAATTGAGAAATATTAATTTAAGCAAAAACTTTACAGCCAAAACCGCACAAACCTTTGATATGTAGTAAAACTTCTCGAAAAATGTATGCACATTGTACTTACATATAACTGACATAGCCATTGCAATCAAAAGTCATTGAAACACAAACCTCATGCCTACATAAATACTACTCAGCAAAAGATCGCTCATAAATGTGTACATGTGTTTTACATACATAACAGACTAAAAGGTATCTATAAGCTGTTGCACCGCGCTTTGAAAAATAATTATCTATGCAGAAATAGCAGAAGTCATACGAATAAAACAGAACATATTAACAGAGGCATATTTAACATGGTTCTTATTTTATATATGACATTACACAACATTTGGGGAGCAGCAGATCATACAACATTTGGTGTGGGCATGCACTCAGTGTTCCTGAACGATAAAAATGTTCGCATATATTTTAAACAATATTTTTTTCTATTCATCAATTTTATGCATAACATAAATATGTTGTAACTATCCTTTTGAACTATCTATGAATTTCAATTACATATGTACGTATATTTATATACTTTAACATGCATATACATACATACATATGGTATATATATACAGTGACTCAAAAAAGGTTTAACATGTTAATTTTTTTTAAATATTCGCGGGCGTTTTCAAGTTAGTAGTTTTTTTTATAAAAGCTTGGTTCATGCTATAACCAAACCCATGCAAAGCCAAGTGTCAAACTTTATGCGAAATTTAGAAAGATTCAGCAAATTTTCATGAAAACTTCCAACTTTTCATACGCAGTTGAAGAAAACTTTTAGGTATGTAGATATGTTGGTTTTAGTGCATGTTTTGTTATTTTGCGTTTTTTTCATGTAACAAGTGCAATGTATAAAAAGTGACGTTGATTTTTTGACATATTTTTGAGATGGTCTTGCGCATTTTATTCCAGAAGACATTCATGTTTATGTGGAAAAATGTGCAAACAGCCGTCAGCAACAAAATTTATTTTTTTATGGGCTATAAAAATGCATACCCAAGAATTTGCTAAAAAACAGTTTAAAAATTTAGTTGATGTTTTATTCGAATTTTTCTAATTTTTTTTAAAGTTGAATACTTAATTTATATGATTTTGGCTATAGCATGAACAATATTTATATAAAAATATAACAAAAAAATGTTCCTGATAAACATTGTAAATATTAAAAAAAAAAAAATCAACATGTGAACGCTTTGTTGAGTCACTGTATATATGAATGTATTTATATGAGTGTAAATAAATTCACCATTCACAATATTTCCTAACAAATCGCAATTATCAACTTTATCGAACACTTGCGTCATTAACATCGGGTTTATCTATCGTAACTGCTCACTATATAGTTACATATTTACATATTCGTACATAAAAGTTGCACCTCAAATCGATGGAAAACAATTTTGCTGCTGCTGTGTTAAAAAAAAATCAAAGAATGAATATAAAAGTAAAAAAAAATATTTATATATCGTTGTTGTTGTTGTTGTCGTTGTCGCTTATACTCGAACTAAAAAATCTCAAAAGGCTGAAAAATCACAAAAACAAAAAAGCTCATCTACGAAACTACACCACTTTTAACAGTAATTTTAATCACCATGCAGATATTAATTGATTCATAAATTTTCGAAAGTAATGAAACTAATGAATTTTCAGCGAATCAAAGATGAAAATGCCTACTCTCGATTGCATACAACTCATTAAATGTACTTACTCGCCACTATAGTCATCAACATTTCATCGCCACTCTCGAAATGTGCGCTCTCACTCCTTTCTATGCATTAAAGCCATCGTTATCAGCAAGCTATGTACATACATAAATATATATAGTAACTAATCTCGTTTCGCACCAACAACATTTACTATGTACATCAGTCAAACTCATTGTGCGTGTAACAAATTCGCAATACAAATAATGAACAAACAACAATAAAGTAATTTTTTATTTTTGTTTTTCTATTTCTTTTCCCTCTCTTTCTCTCTCGCTCGCGTGCTCGATTGATGATAAAAGTTTGAGAGACAAAAAAAAAACTTCATGAAATAGATTTACGCATGCCAATGTTACTTCTAAGCAAACGATTTTAGTGCAACAACCAACAACAACAACTACGTATATTGTTATACATCAAAAAAGTAGAAAATCGAAAGTAGTGCGCAAAAAGTCTATCGAAGACAAGAACCACAGTTGTCAGTTCCGTGAAAATCGGCAACAGCGTATGTAACAGCGATCGCAACAGCTAATTGAGAAATTTGACAATAGCGCACAGACAAGAAAACTTTAAATAAAGTTCCATTAACATTGATTATCGTTAAGCAAGAATTTTCGAAAGCCATACGAAATTTGACGAACTTTGTCACAAGCGGCACAACGCAAAAACGAAGCACAAATCTCAACCGAAAAGAAAGTGCCAGCCAAATAAGTTAAACAAAAAACATCAACATAATTCCGGCCATTAGAAATAGCCACGCCCATTTTTATTATCTTAAATTTAATTGAAAGACTGAAAGCTCCAAGAATCCACGGCATAATTACCTACTTAACATCCGCATTAAAAACAAAAGACGCTATATTTGAGGCCGTCGCCGTCGCCGCCACCGCCGCCATTACCATTGCCACTGTTCTAGTCGTCGCCGCAAGTTGCTGCCGCTGCACCAGTGCGCTCACAATATGAGCCAACCGAATTCGCCTGCAACCTTACAGCAACAATTGCAATTGCAAGCAAATGCGAACTCGGCCGAAAGTTTAATGAGCAACGCTTTCGATTTGATTGGTGGCGCCAGCGCAGCGCAGCAATTCTTGAATCATATGGATTTGTATGCGCAGCAGCAACGTCAACAGCATCAGCAGCAATTGAACTACCTGCAGCAACAGCAGCAATTGCAACATCAACAACAACAACAACAGCAACTTCAACAGTTGCACTCGCAGTCACATATGGCTAAATCACCGTCTTCATCGCCGACAAATTTTGGCAGTGGCGCGAGCAGCAGCAGTAGCAGCCACAGCAACATAACCATCACCACCAATAATTTACATCATACAAACTATAATCATTTTCAACAGCAGCAACAGCAACACCAACAACAACAACACGCAGCAGCAGCAGCAGCCGCCGCCGCCGCGGCAGCGGTGCAACAGCATTTAGGCAATAAGCATTCCATATCGTTGACATCATCGCCAATCACATCACCAACCAAATCGATTCTCACACATGTGGCTGCGGCGGCAAGCAGTGTCGATGCTGGTGCGATAAGCGCCACCAGCACAACAACCACGTCGCCGCCGTCATCGTCGCCGCCAACCATTTTAAATAATTTCAATCCACAACAACACCATTTTAATCTACATCATAATAATAATAATAATCACCAGATGGATTTACAAACACAACAACAACAACAACAGCAACTCCAGCGTGAGTCTGTCGCACAGAATTCTCACAGTGGCATTAGCAACGCCAATAACAATAATACAATCAGCCCAAACAGCGAACGGCTGTCGAATGCTGCCTCTATGGGCACTGGCACACCAAGCGGCGTCGTAAGCCCTAATGGAGGCGGCCAGCAACAGCAGCACAACCATGCGCATGCGCACGCACTCCCACAACATCAGCAGCATCAGCATCATCAGCATGGCAGCGCTACATCACCTTTCAAGCCGCCGGGCTCGGCTTCCTGTTGGTGTTATGGTGAGTTCAGATTATCTCTGTTCTGTTTTATTAAAAAAAAAAAAGAAAACAACATTTTTCACCATAAATCCACCGAAAACACCATCAGCACCACGATCGCCGCCAGCTCGCTGCTTCGGCAGCATACAGCGGTTGCGTGGCTGTGTGCAAGTGTGTGTATTGCAGCAACATCATCGCATTACTCGTATGTTTCGCAACATTTGCACCCGCATCATCACATCTACGCGCGTTGTTATGCTTTTGCGTTCATACATACATTCTTAGGCATAGAGGCAAGGGAAGGCAAAAGCATACAAATTACAAAAATACTACAAAGCACGTAGGTGAAATACAATAAAGTAAAGCTGATGTTTGTGTATGTATGTAAATATTAAATGCAAAATTGTTAAGAATTCTATATAAGACTTTCCAAAATGTTATGTACTCATTCTTTTTTTCACCATTTCTTTTTCATACACATGTATGTACGAGGAACCAACGGAAATTTTGTCTTGGGCGTTTTTCAGCTGCCATATATCTTTGTTTGTACATTAGGCATATGACTTTTTTCCGATGACTTGGCATTTTTCATATACTTTTTTTAGGGATGTTTTCATATTTGTTAATGAAAAAGCATAATTATTTATGGAAAATTTTAAGCCAACGGACAAAAACAAAAAAGTATTATGTTTTTCTTACAAAATTGTTTTTTTCTCGGAGCTCCATGCGTGATTTTTTTGCACCAAACTTTCACGAAAACGTTATTTTTGTTCGTTTTTCGTCATTTCTCATCCTCTCCTCATAGGTTTATTTAATTTTAGAAAAAAGTCGTATGCCTAACTTATAAATATTTTGGTAGTAGAAGATGAAGATGTATATTTTTGACGCAGTTCAAGCGCAGCATGTATTCATTTACATACGCTATACCCCCATTAAACTTTAGTATTCTAATGTGTAATTTTGAAGTGGTCCAAAATTGTCGTGTTTTTGAAAATATGCTTTACGAAGATTGTTTTTATGGAAAAAATCGCAACATCGTAAAGCAGAAAATCGTCAAATATTAACTAGAATTTGCTAGGTACTTCAAACTTAAATGGGCTATAAAACTACATACCCGAAATTTTCGCAAAAATTTTGGATAAAAAGTTTGAAATTTTGATAAAAGTTTTATGATTTTTTTTACAGTGTGAATAACATAAGTACATATATTTAAAAACCAAATTATTATTTTTTTATTAGGTTACTAAATTTGTCCGAATTTAAAAAAAAACTGGTGGTAAAATTTGCCTAGCCTCAAGTGTATATACTAGCATATACATTTACATATGTGTAGATATACTAATTTATGTTGTACATATGTGTGGACATTAGGGTGGTTCAAAAGTGCATGTGAAAAGTGAAGTCGGAATTTTAATGCCGTCACCGCCTAGGATTGTTATATACCAAAGAAAATATACCCCTATTTATTTATTTTGAAATCAAAAAATATTTAGGGTGTGCTCAATGCGCCCAAAGATTTCCATGTATTTTATATGGCGAAAAAAACCACAAAAAATGGTATAGAATTCTTGGATATTAATATTTTCTGATGTCTGCTTCTCTTCAGCAGATTTCCAAGAGTAATACCCAATTATTTCTTGAACCATTTTTTCATGGTAACTATATTTTATAGGTCCGCCAAACCTACAGAAAATTCAATGGGGACCAATAAAATTTCTTTAGTATTAAAAGTTGGTTAAATCAATCGTTGGATTTTAATGTTGGAGAACTCCTGAAGAGAACTCCGATCGAAAAATATTGGTTTTCAAGAATTCTATACCATTTCTATGAAAATTTGTTTTTTTCCCATATATAATACATGGAAAACTTTGAGCGCTTTGAGCACTCCCAAAATATATTTTGACATCAAAATAAAAATAGGGGTATATTTTTTTTTTCTGTATAGAACAATCGTAGGGGGTGGCGGCATTGAAATTTCGACTACTGTTTTTGACCACTCTAATGTACATACATGCGTGCATCAGGTAGCACGTTTCGTACGCACGCACACACACGCAATACGGACAAGATTTCGCAGCCATTAGAAGCTGGGTGGTGCTTCATTCTACTTAACAACCATGCCATTCAAAAGCACGCTGAATGCTGAACATATATTCAATTCCATTCAACTTCCACTTTTCTTCTGACCGACTGAAGTAGCTAAGTTCCGAGTAAATGTTGTATTTTAATTTATTTTATTTGAGCGTATTTGTATAAAAGCAGTTTTGACAAGATACAATAGTAAAGCAAAGGCAAAACTATTTCCACTTCTTTTTACATGTCGATCCACGAAATTGCCATTTGAACGAAATTGTTGACAATGGAAAAACTTAAATGGCGATTCTTGGCAATTACCCACTTAGCTATTTATTAAATGACGTTTATATTTTAATATTTTATTTATGCATACTCGTGTAGTCTATAAGGGAATGGTATCTATCCATAAATGCTTATATTTATTGCAAGAAGAAGAAGAAGGAATGTACGGAAGGTACAGGAAACTCTATGATTTAGTCGACAATTTACTTTAACCAAATCGCATGAAGGCTCACATCAAAATTTATGTGCATAGAATACACTTGCATATACATATACATATGTACATAAATACAAATGAGTCAACATAATAGCTCACAAAAATGTCAGCCACTCAGATTCAAGTTAGCAAAAATATGCAATAAAAGCTATTGAATTTTTATGTTCATAGTTGTTTACGTTTTCATACATATGGGTGTTTCCATACAGCCGTACGCGACATTCGTACGCTTATAGAGTAACGTAAATCTATCAAAAATAGAAGTTACAGAAAAAAAAGAGTACGGTTATGTTGCAACCAAAGGGTACTATATTTGAGAAAAAATAAGCAGCCTCGAAACTTTGGTGTGGAAAATACCCGTTCAAAACCAGGTGATAACGTACGCGACAAAAAAAGAAGTGGTTTTAAGGCACATATACATATATGCGAAAGTCTGTGAATCATGGGAGTTTTTCTTTTCTTTAAAAATTCCTAAACTAAGCTAAATAATGTACCTTTACAGTCCTTTCATATTTTAGGAGAAATTATCTCTGGCTAGGTTTATATTAAAAAAAAAAGCAATAACGTACGCGACATAACGTACGCGACAATTTTTCTCGTAAGTAATAAAATGTATTTATTGAGAACTCTTCTCGCCACCGTTTCATTGTTTTACAACTATTCTAAATAATTTAAATGGAAAATTTGCAATTAACATTGGTTTTGATGTATTTGATTGAAATTTTCGTGCTTACAATAACATATGCGACAAACTTTAAAAGGTAATAAAATATATTTTTACTTCGGTTGGAAAGAAAATTTTACTGTATATCTTTAACTAGAAGAATTCTCGCTTAAGAATTGTAATCTGCATTACCTGCGACTGCCGATATACAAATGACATAGACAAACAATGTTTTTGCATAACGTACGCGACATTAGAATACTATCAGAAGCAAATCAAAAAATTACCGTTAACCGAGCTCTAACTTCTCCTTTTTCTCATTTTTATAGTTAGTTGTTATTGCAAATTTGATTTTAAGATGTAATTGTAATGTTTCAAATCTCTTAATTTAGTTAATAGGAAAGAGAAAATAGTTCATTTCATTAGAGAAAACTGAGTCGAAGACACATTCAGTTTTACTCTTCCATTTTTGAGTTTTAAAATTCCAATAAGCTGAAATACTTCTATAATATAAAAATTCGAGTATTTTACTCTTATTAATTCGTCTTAAAAACCCTTTTCAGTTGTTTTTATTTTTTCAGTCCTGGTTGACATTTTCATGGAAACACCCATATGCATGTATGTACATTCAAAACATACATATGTATGTACATATGAACTTCCTATTACATATGTAGGTATGTATGCAATATTTCCCCGCCGTAAAAAAAAAGCATTATCCATATTTGAATGTATGTATGTATTTTATTGCGCTACTTCACCGCTCAGTTCAAGGTTGCGTATACGCCATGTAGTATTGCAAAAGAAAACGTCTTTAAATGCCAATATTAAGGTTAATTGTTGCTATACAAATATATATATGTTACAAATATTTATGTATGTACAACATGTGTACATACAATGTTAGCAAAATTTGTAGAGAAACTGAGGGAGACCTAAATTTTGGCAATGTGCGATCTGAAAAATAGAAACTGTTATTTCAAGTTGATCGGAATTAGATGAACACGTTTTGAAAAGGACTTTTTGTGTTGTTTCCTTTTGATTTATTGATGGGAGCAGTAGTCATGAAAATTATTGAATTATGGCATGGAAATATTTTGACATATCGCACGTTTAAGAATATAGGTTTTTAGAAATTGTGGCATACAATAAATAAGCTTGATAAGGTGTTCAGTCTAGCAGATAACTAGACTCTCCGAAAATGGCAATGGGATGTCATGAATCGATCAAACTTTGACTGTGTTTTCTTAAAAAATTAAAATTTTGAAATAATTATCTTTATTATTAAACGTGCGAAATATTTTCTCTATTTATTTTGGTTTATCAGTGGTACTCATTTCTAGGTTAAGTTCTAATTTAATTTAAGTTAATTCCTAATTTTTCTGTTAATAACTTTAAAAGTGATCAGCCAGTAGAATAAGTCCGATTTCGCCTATTTATAGTTTTTTTTTTTAAATTTTATTTTTAATAAACGAAATACTGAAATCATATAAATTATATTTTCAAAACTTTAACATACAGGTGATATCGTCGAAAATTCAAAGTTTTTAAGCACAATTTTTAGGTATGCGCGAGTGAGTGTAGAAAATGGCTATCACCGCAAAAAGAAAAATATATATTAAAAATCGGCGCGAATTTTCGTCCCTACAAAATTTAATGGGCTATAAAACTGCATACTTGATTTTTTTCATAAATTATGATTAAGTTTGAAATTTTGATGACACTGTTTCTTTTTTTCTTAGTTTTGTATAAAGTTCGAAACTTTGATTTATAACTTTGGTT